GGTAGTACAGGTTTTCAACTTACAACCATTTGTTCAAAATTATACCAGTGATGAACAAAGAGACTATAGTAAAGCAATTTAATAGGATTTGCTTCACTGCTATTAGTGAAAAGGGGTCAGGTTTTGGTCTTTGATGACCAGACTATCATGCTGCAGTTTTTACTAATGTCTTGGCCACCACTTGGCCACAGAACAGAAAATGTGTTTTGTTTCACACACAAAATATACTTTGACTTAGAAATCTAGTTAGACTATTTTGAGCTGGTTCTGATTGAGTTGAAACTGAGTTGTTCTGGGCTTTGGCAAAGAGACAATCTGGAGAGGTCTTACAGAATAAAACAAGACTAGTGCATCTCATCTTTTTCTCCCTTCCTTTCATAGCCTGTGCTCTAGTCCAGAGGTCCCCAACCGTTTGGGCACCAGGGACTGGTTCTGTGGAGTGAGTTTTTTCTGCGGACCGGAGAGTGCATGGTTTTGTGTGCTGCCTGCATCTCACAGATGGGGGCTTTGCTTGTTTGTGTGGACCAGTACTGATCCCTAGACCGGGGATTGGGGACCCCTGCTCTAGTCTTTCCAAACTATCAGCACTTTCCTTCCTCCCTTCCTCCTATCTTTTCTTGGTTGCCACTATCACTCTCACATTCAAGTGTAATGTGCCTGACCGCCTCACTTGCTCCTCTTGTCAGTCTTCTCAGCCCATTTATTCTCCAGAGCTGCCATGCTTCTTCAGGCACAGTGTATCAATATGCCCTATCAACTCCTTTCTCTGCTCTTCTCAGTAACTATTTGTTAATATCTCTGGAAATTCCCTGGATTCTTGATTATATAATTTACTACATATAAATGGGCTGCCTGTTAATAAAAATGGTTGTGTTTTCCTTCCTTGACCTGCCGAAACACTGAAGCCACACAGTATTTTCAGGAACCACTGAACTCACACATTTTTAATATGCACCCTGTTTTCATCAGTTCCTAAAAGTGTTGGCTTAGTTGGCTCAAGGAAAGACAAAGCCATCTGTCATTTTTAATAAGCAACTTGTTTGTAAGTGTGGATTCCGACTTAAAATCCAAGTTAAAAGACAGAGTTAGGGAACTGAACTTGTTAACTCAGGTACTGTTTGTACATATATATATATATATTTTTGCTTCTCCACGACAGTTCTCATTGGCTCTTTATCACATTTAATTGTACTAGTATCCAAAATCCATCTTTTTTCATTACAGATTTGGAAATGTGTATTGTATTTTTATTGCCTCTAGTGACGTGTGTGTTCTGATTCCTCCATCTCACAATTCTCCAAAGTGAGTATCAACCTCAGAAGTTAGCTTGAAAATTTTTTATATCTCATCCAACTGCAGAATTTGATGAAAGCCCCTTTTTCTTTTTTGTTTGCAGACATCTGGATACCACTCCTAAGTTTCCAATAGATTATTTATCCAATGTACCACTTCAGCCTTTTAATCTGGGCCAACCACAAGTCATTTGCCATTTGACATGTATCCTATCTTTATCCATGCAATGGTTCTGTGATCTCTGCAACATCTTTACAGAGGTATCTAGTCAGCCATATTTGAATCTGGGAATTCCTAAGCTCCTTTCCTCATGTCATAATTGCTGTATTGTATTGTTTTATTGTTTTGCATGAAGTAACATATGGGTCATTCAAACTTCACAACTGTAATCAGAAATCGGAGTACCATATAAATTTTTATACTAACGGAACAATTAGCCCAATTTTATCAGCATATTTTCCCTCTTCCCAGGGAAGGCCCAACGAATGTAACAATTCTTGCTCATCACATACAGGAATGATTAAAGCTACAGCTAAGTAAGTACTTGGAAAGAAATGTCTATCATTGCTAATAATATTTTTATTGTCCCCATATATTCATATAGGAAAAAACAATAATGCATATTCACATTATACAATGTAGAATGTTGAATAGTTTGCTCATTTTGTCTATATAAGTACTTAATCCTGAAATCTGGCAACATTTTGGTGTACTGAAATTATTTTTTGATCAAATATATTTAAAATCAAGTAGAAGTGATCCTCAACTTAATCGTAAGTCATGATGGTTGTAAAACAGGCTGCCATGTAAAACAACCGCTGTGGCCCTGAAGTAAATCCATTGTTTGCAATGGGAGGATTTTGCCAAAAATTAGAAATAAATGCTGGGGTTTAGCAAAAACTTCATAAAAATATTCACATGAGTGCGAGGCACGCCAAATAGCCATAAATATAGATTGTGCGCCCGACATGGTTATGTGACTGGGAGAGGGGGGCTGGCCACTGGGACTTTGGAACTGGATCATAAGTAGCTAGGGGGTGATCTATCATAATTTTGAACAGTTGCTAAGCATCCAGTTGTAAGTCAAGGACTACCTGCCACTCAAATTATTATTTTATGACATACAGAGTAGAATTACAGATATCCATTATTCTGAATGAAAATGTGATATATTTATTTTAAATCCCACTTATTATCATAGAATCCTAGTAGAAGATGGAACAAGTGAGGTTGTGGTATTTTGCAAGAATCAGCAAGTGCAACAAGTGTTGGGTATGAGCCCCAAGGAATGGGAGGTCCTGCAAAGTCATATCCGGATTAAGGGAAATATCTGCATTCAGCATAATGAAATTAGCACAGGAGCTAGGGTAAGTGGTTTATTTTGAATTAGGAAATTTAGTAACCACTTGGATTAGGAATTTTGCCTAATGGCTTTGAGTGTAAATCAAGGCTATTTATCTGATTTTGACAGATGCTGGAAGAGCAAGAAGATCTGCTCACACAGTATTTGAGAAACTTATGCAGAAGTCCAGCTGTCTGTCGACCCATAGTGTTGGCTTTCAGAGTGGATAAAAAATCTTCTAATACAGGTATGTTATATGTCTTCAATCTCACAGAATGCTCTCAGTGCAAAGGAAAAAAACTAGCTTTTTTTTTTAGAAATCATGCCAGCTATTCAACTATTCCTATGATATGTTGCTTCACTATAATCAATAGAAATTACTTAACAATATAGAAATCCTGATGCCTCACTATAGTCCTCAAGTTACTACTTACAAATCCCAGAAGCTTCAAAATAGATGAATAAAATGCCAAGGAAGTTGCCAAATTTACTTCAGTATGCCAGAATTTTCATACTTAGAGCAGATACCAGTTTAATCATTCCCTGCTAGGAATTAAATTGAGAGGTTTAGGGGAAAAATTCTAAGGCCCCGAGAGGCTGATCTGTATTACAAAATGGCTCAGGAAAATTGTTTTTATATTAATTGGAATATCAACAGTTAGAGATGGAGAATATTGATCACTGTGTTTTGAGTTTTATGGAGTTGAAATCTAATCTGAGGAAGGATAGAAAGCTGATTTATGCAAATGGAGACCATTGGTATATTGTAAAAAATACTGTATGCTTTTGTTCAGATATAGGCAAACCTATTTCCTGATTTTTTTTAAAAAGGAGATTTTAATAAAGGCAATAAGTACAATTCCACTGCACATCTTAATTGGGCAAGCAAAAGATGGGCTGTTAAGAAATATGAAATATAAATATGGGCCATTAAGAAATATGGGCTGTTAAGAAATATGAAATACAAATATGCCAAAAACTATTGCACTTGTTTGTTCCTCCACTTATACTGATTTCCTTGATAATAATGACTAAAAATTGAAAAGGGTCCCTTTTATATCTTCTCCCCACCCTTCTCCCTAAATTCTAAGACACCCAGGAGCTGGCTGAGATATAGTGTGCTGGTATTATTTTTAGTGAGAAAGAGATGGATTATAAAGTTCTCTTTTTTAAATAGGATCGGGACAATTGAGGAGGTTTTTCTGTAATGAATTAGAGTTCTTAAGTCGAATGAGGAATCGATCAAATCTGGTATGTCTTAATATCCAGGAAACAATCTGAAGAACAGGAAGAGGAGAAAGTCTAATTTCTCTGGAGGAATTTGTGTAATTCCAGTTTGTGTATGTATTGCAGATTTGGAGATACGATTATCGTTAGTAAGCTCAAGTGTGAAGGATATTGTTGCAAACATTAAAATGTGAAAATATTTTTACATTAAAAAATCAAGCTTTTTTTCATTCTTTTCAGTAAAATACAAATCAGTGTTGCCTTATAATTAAAGAGTTTATTTTACCATTTGATTAAACCGTATCTTGTTGTCATGATTTTACTCTTTGTGTACTGAGAAAAGTGCATCTTTATGTAAAACAGTGACTACTTTTTGCGCATACTAGAATCAGGAAAGGTATAATTTGTATAGTAGTTTTTTGAAGCCATGAGAAGAGACATTGGTATAGAACAGGGGTCTTCAAACTTGGCCCTTTTATGACTTGTGGACTTCAACTCCCAGAATTCCTCAGCCAACGTGCCTGGCTGAGGAATTCTGGGAGTTGAAGTCCACAAGTCATAAAAGGGCCAAGTTTGAAGACCCCTGGTATAGAATCTGTATAGAGATCACTGTAGAATAAGAAGAAAAAAAGCTTTTTCAAGAAAAAAAGCTTTCATTCTAGAGAAGGAAGGGAATTGGAAAAAGCTGCCCTAGTCACTCAATAAAAAGCATTTCCAATAGTCCTGCTGATTCTAATTCCAAGGAATATAGAATAATATCCTAAAGCTTGAGAGCAGATGCTTTTGAGTGATTGTTTAAATATATATAATCCTGAATCTCAATATCCATAATTTCCAATTAGTTTTGAAATAATAGTTGAATATAATCTGTTGAAGTGCTTAGATAACATAGGCAGAGTTTAAGTTTATTCATTATATTGCTAACTTCTATGTCTTGTTGCTAACTTCTATAATGTCTTGTGCACTGACTAAAAGGCTAGAAACTTTTACTCTATGATTGACAAGAATAGTATATTATCAACACAATTGTATTCTTTAAGATTTGAACAAATATACACAAAGTCATAGATACAATGCTGTTCTCCCCATCAGTTCCTCTTCTTTTGAAACCATAGAGTTTGTAATATCATGAGCATCATTTTCTAACACTGACACAAAGAGAATTTTATTTTTATCCAAAAATAAATTGTACAGTGAGGGAGAGACATGGAACAAAGTAGCATAATACATTGTATGTAAAATTATAGTGGTTAATCAATTTCCTAGGCATAGAATGCTACAACATAATATAGCCAAAAAGGATTTTAGCAAAAGAAGCAAAATTGCTTTTCATATATCGTGTTCTGTAAACACAGCATAAATGAAATTAGCTTTCTTAATATAGAACTCAAAAGAATTGAAAATGCAATTAGTAAATTTAGCTGGCATTGCCTAAATGAGGAAAAAGCACTTTTCTGGTAAGCTTAAAACCAATATTAATTGAGTGCCACACCAGAAACAGAAGGGCCATTACTTCTACAATTAAAGTGGTCAGGAAGAAGAAATAATGTTATTACAACCTTATTTAGCAACCTTGTTTCCAGTTTTCATTGTATCATATTTATAACCATATTTCCTATTATAATACATTTACAAATGTGCAAGGAAATGGAATTCCAGAGAGGATTTACACAAATGTTGGCTAGGATGGTCTATTTTGCAGCAATGTCACAATGGTGTTAGGAGGTTCAACTTTTAAGATGATCTTTCACATTATTTAAATTGTAATTATGTATGATAATCATACAATGCCTGCTGTTAACATGCTATAAGAAAACACTAGACACAGTGATCTTTGCAAAGAGAAAGGATTAGCAGCTTTTTTAAAATTAAAGTTTGGGATTGTAACATTCTCTTCTTCAGCAAATTTAAAAACTTTTGTACAACTATTCCACGGTTTTTCATTTTTATCTTGATCATTGAGAGACAAAGTTTATAGTGTTACATTTGCTCAAACAAGGATACATTCAATTCTAAATAGCAAATATATCCAGAAATAAAAGAAGGGTTGATCTTTTCCAAGCATAAAAAGCATAGAAAAATAATTTAACAAGTTGCATGTACATTCAAAAGGCATACAATTCCTCAAATAATGACTGACTTTAGACTGCTGTTGGGAATAATTTTTGCCCATCAGTTCTAATCCTGAAGATTTTTCATCACATTAAGAAGAATGGGGAAGAGCTTTTTTACCAAAATATTTTGATCTATAATTCTGATCCACTCTACTGAATATAGACACAACAGCAGCATTAAAGATTAAGCAAAACTACCTTTGAAGCATCATGCATGACCACATGCAGTAGAAAACTGATTCAACTGCCTTTTTCCGCCCTGAAGAAATCTATACTTCGACAACCATAATTCTCTTCCAAAGAGAGAAACAGTTGAAGGATTAAATCTGGTGAAGCCTTACTGGGACTTTAACAAAGTCTGCTTTACATTTGCACAAACACGCACGCAACTGTCAAACTAAATAGGAATGTTTTTCCAGTTATAAGTCATCACAATATACATCTTCTACTAGAGAAAGAGAAGATTGAAATGAGAAACACTGAAATGGGAATTTCTAGTCCTCCAAACTGCGGAATGCATTCTGCATGTCTTCAAACAGTTGGGCGAAGTCTGCTTTGATCTTTGCTTCTCCATCTTTCACTGGGTCCTGAAATTCAACAGAACAAAACTGGATAATCACTCGAGATTTAGAAAGACAGCACTTCCTCAGAAGATGTCATGAATATCTTAACATTGCAGAATTCCTACCAATGATGCAGAGGGAACTGGTCTTTTGATATGCCTGATGGGATCCATCTCTGTCCCATGTACTAAAATGAAACAGCCAGCACACACATACCCCCAAGAGATAAATACCTTATGCAGTAGAGTTATTTTCTCTTTCACTTCTGTTATAACTGTAACAACAGCAAATAGCAATCTGCATATGTACAAAGTTTCATATTCAAAAAGAAATTGGAACCGTGAAATGCGCCATCCACCTTCCTGAGTCCAGAGATGAGATGAAAGACCTAGCTGCTTACCTTTGCACATCATTTGAACAGGTACCAGGAGATGACAGAAACAGACTCTAAGAAGGAGGTCTGTGACCAATTAATGCCCTGATAAGAAAACAAGGCCATCCACTTTGCTTTATCAAGAGTTCAAGTTATAGAAAAGCAGGTATTTTACAATTCTTGCTAAATCACATTACAAGACTGGAACCACTTAGACCTACCTCTTGCTCTTCCTATTAATATATCAAAGTGACTATCTAGCAGTTTAATTAAAAAACTAAACACTCTTGTCAACGCTGTTTTTTATAAATGGCAGTTAGATTAATAGAATGTTAAAGGAACAACAATCTTATACTTGTTTGATTTGGGATATGAACAAGGGCAATACAAGATTAAGAAATATGGTCGTGAACCCTATTGAATTTTCAATATTTCTGTTTAAATATTATCTAAAACATGATCAGTTCTCCACACAAGTTTAGCTACTGCACAGCCTTGGAAAAATCATTGCTAATTAAGCTGGATTCACACGACTACATGACTCAACTTATAACTACGGAAAAGAGTAATAAAATTGGATCTGGTCACATGATGACTCACAGTCACGACGACTTAACAATGGCAATTATCCCATTTATGGTTGTAAGTTGAGGATTACTTGTACATATTGTTTTGTTATAATCCTAATGCAGAGTACATACCTTGAATTTCATAGAGGTAAGTCGGTAAAGTATTTCACTCATGTTCTCTTTGATAATGGACCATGTAATCTTATTGTCACTTTGGGCAGTAGTCTCAACTGCTCGGCGTGCCATATCATAAAATGCAATCATGTTAGACAGCATTCCCACTGTCTTATAAAATGGGCAGAACCTAATGAAAACAGTACCAAAACTCATCTTTCTCAGAATTAAGGAACTTTTTAATGACTAAATTGTTCAAACAGGTTAGCAAATATTTGTGTCTGATAATTAACATTTGTGGAAGAAGTGATAGATGCATAGCGGTTGGCTATAGAATTCAGCTTTCTATAACGGACAATGCATATACAGAAACAGAAAGTGAAGTAGAGGATGTTTTCTATGGGCTGAATAAGCAACTTTCATAGTTTTTTATCATGGTATCTTTAGTCCAGCAGTTACACAAATTTGAATAGCACATTCAGGTTATAGAACATTTGCTTACTTGTAGATCATTCTTTAGTTGTAGAGGAACTACCCAGACACTTTTAACAGAAGAGACTTCTGAAGGACTAGACTAGGAGTTACTTCCCCATAATTAGTATTTGCATTCATGCTGCATGTCCTGACTACCATCAGAATATGAATCTAGTATAATATATCCCGAATGAACACAAAGGAATCCACTGACAAAAAAGAGAAAAAAATGGAAGGAACAATGTTCTAACATCTGAGCAAAGTGAAAGAGAGTGTAGACTACAATTGAATCACACTTCAACGAAAGGCCAATTCTTAGAAAATGTGAAACATGAATGCTGGGCTATTTGGTGTAAATGTTGAAGGTGAACAAAGCTAGTATCTTTGCCCTTAGTTCCACTTGGTTCCTTCCCCTTAGTTACTTTAATACAAATGATGTAGCAGCAGCATCTTTAAGAACATACAAGGCGTTCATGGTACCAATTGAGGACTTGTCCTTTGTTGCCCTCAATAATATACACTTACAGCTAATTGGAAGGCAAAATTGATGAAGAAAGCTGGATCTTCAGCATTTTTGTATCAGAGCACTGCTTGATATAATATTCAGGACAGAAAAAATAAGCTTCTACTTGTGAAATGTGAGTTGATATTTGATAGGCTAGTTCCAACAGTGCCGGGTGAGAAGAAAAAATAGCATGGTGTAGTTTTCTGAACTGCAGGGAAAACTAGCAAGACTGCTGAATGGGAAGAATTTGTATGTCAGAATATACTTAACATGCAATACAAATCTAAAGGAACTTTATTACCAGAGATCAAGACATCAAGAAGTTCTACACAAGCAGTCCCTGCAAACAGAATTTCCTATGGACATACCGGTCATATGGGGTATAGCCATTCTGTTGCAAGAAATCATCTTTAATGAGCTTGGCAACTTCCAACGTAATTTTGTCGGTTTCTGCCAAAGAAGCCTAAAGTGAGAGAGAAGAAAAAGTCTTTTAAAACAGTGATCTGATCCAGGTAACAAGCAATCAAAATTTAGGAATTGGTTATCAATACATCATGGGAATCTTCACAGAAAAACATTTACTTAGCTTTTTATTTATTTAGACATCTCTCACAGTTGGTATGAGAAGAAAAGCTGTTCTAATATTAACTCTGAAAATCACTTTTATCAACCATTCAATTATTACTCTTGTCTCTAATAATTGTGTCTCCAGTCCTTTCTGTTCTTTACTACTTCTCTTTAATTCTCTTTAATGAGCAATTGATCTGCTTGCCACTCTCTCCTCTAGCATCCTAAGAATATGCTATTGTATTGAAATTCAGCAACAAAATGGCCAATATTGGTGGTGCATTTTTTTACTTGTTTATTCAATATTTAAGAAAGAATGGGATCAACACTATGATATCCATTCTTAAGTATCCCCAAATAGTTACTCTGGTGCTGGATTCAGCCTAATTTTAGCATTGTGGCAGGATTTAAGGATACAGGGACAGGAGGTTGAACCTCCCCAAATGCACCAAAATTAATTTGAAAAAATGGCAATTTTGAACCATGAATGAGTATAAGGGTGAGAATAAGAATACTTTGCTGGTCCTATCTCTTATGATAGTATCACAAACAAATGATGTCTTTTGCAGCTCACTGCGTGGTTGGGAATATGAACTTGCCTATGTTGCAACAACTTTCACTTCTATTTTGCCTAAGGAAGTGTTTAATTAGGACTGCAATATTATACTATACAATACTAGCATTGTGCAAATGTTTAAATAGTAAAAATTTCATGTCTCCAATATCTTGAAACTACCACTGACAACACAAGTATATCTGTTCTGAACACAAGTATGTCATCAAATTTTCAGAAGTTGCCAATTGGTATAGCTTTAACATTTGTTTGTACACTCCTTTGGAATTACTTTAATAAAAAAGACAAAGCATTTTATAACTAATTAAATAATTAACTAATCCAAATAGCTTCAGCTATAGAAATGGCTCCATAAGACCGATGTTCCTTCACTCACCTTCCCCACCAACTGTACAATCTCTGCAAGATCCTCCTCTTCCTGCAATATCTCTTTTGCTTTAGTTCTCAAGGGAACAAACTCGGGGAAATGCTTGTCGTAGTATTCATCCAAAGCACGTGTGTATTTGCTGTAGCTAATGAGCCAATTCACAGATGGAAAATGTTTACGTTGAGCAAGCTTCTTATCCAAGCCCCAGAATACCTGCCCCAAAAGTAATAACATGTCAATGAGCATCCTTAATTAACAGAACTGCATTTGCCTCAGACTACTTCACGAAGAACAAGGTTTCACACTTGAACCTTAAAAGCATTCCATGGGCAGAGTAAGTTAAATTCTGAGAATGCAATTTGACGAAGAACAGCCAATGAGTTTCAAAATTGAAAAGGAAAGTGGATACTTTGTTATGTGCAGACCATTAACTTGTGTCTAATAACTGAAAAGAATTTTTACATTAAAGACATAGCATAAAAGGTTGCATGACAAGCTCCTGAATTATAACTCAGTTATTACAAGTTGTCTCCTGTGGTTGAAATCCTAGTACACCAAGACTTCTTCAAATGATTCCATGTTCTTCAAGCTTGATATAGCTACTGAAGACTTCATTCTGAATGAACCAGATCTCTCTTTTGGCACACTCCTTACAGCTAAGGATGGGCAAGCATATCAATTTTGTTTTGTTCACTTCTTCATTTTGCCAACTTTAGCCATATCCAATCATACTTTCTGCATGCTTTTTGCTATTTTGCTAGCATTTTTATATGACTTTTACAAATGTATAGTTTTTGTATTGGTTGATATGCATTACATTTTGAAAATGTAATGTATCAAATGTATCAAAGTATCATAATTCACATTTATATTTGAATCCAGTTGCTTTTGCACAGGTGTGGAGCTGTGTCATCAGATTGAGCAAATTATCACAACTTGTTTAGAACACTAATTGACCCCTCTCCCCCAAAAAGAAATAAGCATTTGATATTAATGTTGAATTGTGTCAGATCAAGTATGAGAGATACCAGAAACCTCTGCCTGTAACTGAAGATGAAAAAAGGCCTTTCCTCAATCCTATTCTTACCATAAGATCTGGTCTGTTAAACCAAAATTTAAAAAACGAGTAGTACAAAAGATGGCCAGAATATTACAGAACCATTATTAGAAGAAACAGTGTTATATTAGATGGACCAATCATCAGATGCAGGGAATAAGAAGCCCCTGGAAAGCTGGGCAGCAAACTAAGTATCTCAGAACCAGAATAGCAGCCTCCCTTTGCTGCAGGCTGACTACCCAAACTCATGTGCCTATATATTTATAAACAGATTAAGAATGACAAACAACACTGAGTCTTTCATAGTAACAGACTCACCAATTAGATTCAAGAAGCTTTTTTTTTATTAAAACTTACATTTTAGTCAGAGAGCAGAATTATTGCCTACCTGAACAATACCCAGAGTAGCAGAAGTAACTGGGTCAGAAAAGTCACCACCAGGAGGAGATACACTGAACAGGGATAGGAGAGAAAAGACAGAAAGGGGAAAATACGATTAGTAGTAATACTTGCATCAAATTGAGAAGGACCGTCAACTGTACAGTATGTTTGCAACTCACTCTTTAGGCTTGGACTTCCTAATTAAATGCTTCTTTTTAAGCAGAACTCTGAGCTGCCTGTTTAACACTGAGAATGTTCCATTGCAACCCCCAACAAAGACTGAACTTTTAGCTTTGCCCTCTCTAGTGATCTTACTAAAATCATCATGTAAGGAAGATGTAAAAATCTTCCTTAATCATAACAACGGTTGTCAGAAATGATATTCAAAGTATGAGTTTTGCCACTGAATCTATGGTTTTTTCCATTTTAAGTAATGTTTAAGAATCCAGGTAAGGACTAGGTTGGAAAGATATTAAGAAAATGAATAGTTAATCAAATATAAATGGGCAGAGAAACACTTAAATGAACAATTTGATTTATGACTGTAGTTCCTAAAATGTATCAGAGACTTCGCATAGTATTCACAAAACAGTGAAAAACTATGTACAGTATCAAGAAAATAATAACTTTAACAAATCTGCAGATTGTTTTCTCTAATGCTGTTTTGAAACAAGAAATGTCTTTTTTATTTTATTTATGTAATGTCCCCCATTATCTCTTTTAGTTTCACTTTGTGAACAAGCATTTTTAATTTCAGGGAATATTTTCGATGTACAAGAATAGATGATCAGGTAATAGACCATAGTGCAAAATAATATACAACTACAGAAAAAGAGCATCTTGTTGCTAATATACTCACGCTCCAACTATGCTAACGCTTCCTTCTCTCTCTGGATTCCCCAGACACTTTACTCTACCAGCCCGCTCATAGAAAGAAGCTAGGCGAGCACCAAGGTACGCTGGATAACCACTATCTGCAATTATCCAATATAATGCAAGTTAGCTTCTCTAATGACAAGAAAACTCAAAATTTTTGAATCAATTTTTCCCCCAAAAGTTACAAAGAAGAAAATGCATACCAGCAGGCATTTCAGCCAACCGTCCCGAAATTTCTCGAAGTGCCTCTGCCCATCGGGAAGTTGAGTCAGCCATCATACTGATATGATAGCCCATGTCACGAAAGTATTCAGACAAGGTAATTCCTATGACCAATAACAATTACAAGTCAAATATTAATTATCACCTGTAGTGGCTTATAAGAAATTTAGAAGAATTCAAGAATTTAAGATTTGTACCACAGGGTACAACTGATTGTTAGGCATAAGAAGAATATTCAATTGCTCCTTTGAGTTCTTCCTTTTCTTCCTTTTAATCAAATGCTGGAAACAATAAAGTATATGTTTCCCATTTTGTTGCACATACCCGAAACCAGAAAAGGGTCAAGTTTGCAGGAGACCCTGGGACTGCACATTGGATGCTGAGGGCAACATGTAATCTGCAGGCTCCCCTCTTTGGTCTAAAATACTGAAGTGCTTGGAGATATTTCATGATTTAGTTCCTCTCACCAACCCTTGTACTATATCTTGGAATTAGCTTTCCTTAGTTTGCATTTTCCTTGAAATGGGCTCCTGCCTGTACCATACAAAAACTCTTGAAGAGTTGTTTTTTTTATATATATAAAAATTTTATTGGTTTTTTTTCATCAACATATGTTAATTTTTCTAATCAACAAGTTGTCTGGAATTTGCTATGCTAATACATGTTCAATTCCTAATCCTTCATTCTTTTCTCTAACCAAGAATAAAATAAGTTCCAAGTTTGATAGTAGTCTGTATCTTCTTTATCTTTCAACCTCATAATCTGTCCTTCTCCTGCTTTATAGTCCAAGACTTAAGGAAGGTCCTTTTGGAGGTTCTTGCTCTGCCCACTATACAGCTGTGGACTATGCTGTCTCTTTTCTGCCTGTTTCCTAGGCAACATCTCTTTGACCTGCCTCCCACGGTCTTTCCCACATACCATTACAAGATTGCACCTTGGCTCCCAATAGACACTGAGTCAGATTGAAACTGCTTGTTATTGTGTATAAATCCCTTAAAGCAGGGGTGTCAAACTCAATTGTTGCATCAGCATTGTGGTTGCCCTCAAAGGGTCAATTGCTGTCCCCTTCTCTCCTTCAGGCTTGCCCCACAGAATCCTCTCCTATTCTATCCTCTTCTCTCCCTCAGGCTTGCCCCACTGACATCTCTCCTATCGCCCTCTCTCCCCCCCCTCACTCCTCCTCCCCACCAAAACTCTTCCTTTTATATCCCCTTCTCTCCTCCCTCATGTGTTCATTCACTGCCCAGCTGGCCTTTTCACACAGCGCTCATCAGCTGGAACTGTGTGCGCTGATTCTGGTGTCCCAGCCAAGCCCTGCAGCTCCAGCTGACTGTCCGCCCGAAGACTGCGTGCAGCTGCTGACTGTCCCTGAGTCTGTAGGAAGACCTGATCAACTAGAGACGCACACGCTGATCCTAAGACCTCAGCAGAGCCCCAGCAACACTGCAGCTCCAACAGATTCTACCCCAGGCTTCTCTGGCGCTGCTGCCGCTTCACCTCAACCCCCCCCCGCTACATACTCAAGCACCTCCTACTACTAGTCTGCTTGCGGGCCAGATCTAAACACATCATGGGCCGGATTTGGCCCGTGGGCCTTGAGTTTGACATGTCTGCCTTAAAGGTTTGAGCCCTGCCTACCTGATTTTTTCACACAAAGCCAAACCTAAACAAATAGGCTAAAGAGGATCTTTCTTACAAAAACAACTCTTCAGACTGCCATCAGAGGAAGAAATAATCAGGAAAATATTGGAATGTGCAGAGATTTATGCTTTCAGACTTGCAAGATTCTATTAAACATCATTTACAATAATATTTCCTGTCTGGTCTTCTTGGTAAGGCTGTCAAATCTATAATTAATGGCCTCAGTGTCCTTAGGTCCTCTACAAGAGAGATAGCAAATTAGATTTCTATAAGGTTCCTTTTCTTGCCCAATCAACTTCATTTGGCACCAAGACACTACTATTACAGTTCTGTTTTTATTCTACATTACTGGCACTTCTTGAGTGTAATCCTTAGTGACACAGGTCAAAGGTAAATTCATAGGCAAATTGTTATAAGCACTTTTTGAATTGGAGAAGGCCAGCAATAGCTAAAAGACCAAGAAACAAGCATTAAGTCAATACCATGTTTATTTCCACATTTCTTACCAGTGTAGATAGAGGCTTCTCTGGCAGCAACAGGCATATTGGAAGTGTTTGCTACTAAAGCAGTTCTCTTCATTATGCTTTCTACCTTACCATCAACTTCCATAGTCAGCTACAAAGAAAAAAGAAAAATGGAAACAAAAAGACATTTGTTTTCTAAAGAAAAAATAAAAGTAGATACTGGAATGATTCACAAATTTTGACCCCCCAAACTATATCATTATCCTATTACAATGCAAAAGACACAATATTTCTTCCAAACTGCTATGCTTTACAGAAACAAGTCAAGCTATTTTTTTGCATACATTTTTAAAGGGTTGGTATGCCAAATTTAAGATCCTGAATCATGGTAATATAATATTACCATCAATTATGGTAATAGTGAATTTATCCTCAAAAACTGAACTCAACCAAATATCTCTAAAATCATTTTGATAACTGCCTAAAAATTCAGTGCAGGATGTACAGAGATTCAGAGGGACTGCATAGAATTAACTATGAAATGAGACATAGTCTATTAAAGATTCTGCTAAAATGAGTTTGTTAGCATTTAAGATGTAAAAACACTTTGTTTCTTTTCTTAAATAAGAATTATCTTTAAATTCGTTTCATTTAAATTCAGTTCCAAGAACAGAATTGCTACTTGTTTCTGAATTTCAGTAAGTTTAGATGACTACTAGATGTTAATATTTAACTCGCCTTTTATCAATAATCTCAAGATACAAAACAGAAAAATAAAACAAAACAAAAAATACACCAAAATGATTTTGTATTTTTTACCATTTTTTTAAAAATCGGCCATTTTTAAAATTATGTCGTATTTTGAATCAAGATGGGGACCTTTCCTGGACCTGGGGGCTGCACATCTGCTTAATAGTTCTGGATTTATAAAGGTTGTAAAGTATCCAATGATGTACCTACAGAGGATCAGAGTGAATTTGGTGGTATCTAAGAGCCATTAAAATTGGGTTGGGGGCTCCACTAAAATAAGGTGGGATTATATTTAGCCTAGATATTGCCCATTAATATGTTTCTGTGAAAACAGGTTCTTAAGGCAACTCTGCGCATATTGAGTTGAAAGTAATAGTTTCATAAAACAGCAATAAAATACAGTTTAAAATTTTACATTCTAAATCTGCTAAAATGGAGTGGAGTGGAGTGGAGTAGAGTGGAGTGGAGTGGAGTGGAATGGAATGGAATAGAATAGAATAGAACAGAACAGAATAGAATAGAATAGAATAGAATAGAATAGAATAGAATAGAATAGAATAGAATAGAATAGAACAGAACAGAATAGGCTTTATTTGGCCAAATGCGATTAGATACACCAGGAATTTGTCTCCAGTGTCAGAAGATCTCAGTTTTTCTATTTAAAAGATTTTATATTTTTATTTAATTTCCCCCTCCCCCAAGTCTTATTATCTAATCAACCAACTTCAAGTACCAGAAACAAACATATTTGTACAGCCAATAAAAACATTTCAATGGTTTGTACAGCCAATAAAAACATTTCAACTATCTTTTTAGGGGAACTAAAAAGCCTTGGGAAGGCTTCTAAGAATGCTTTTTTATTTATTTATTTATTTCTGGAAATCAACATAATTGCTTAAATTAAATTGCAACATTAAAACTTCCCACCTGAACTCTCATTTGCACAGTATTACCAGCTCCTAGTACCAACCTCTGGAAAATCTCTGAGCACTTCTGACATTTCATTTCCCCGCTCACCACAGCCTACATAGATAATAACATCACTATTGGAATATTTGGAAAGGGATTGGGAAATAACCGTCTTTCCACAACCAAATGCCCCAGGAATAGCAGTAGTACCTCCTTGAACACACCTAGATTTAAAAAAAACATTCATATTAAACCAAAAGAAAACATGGAAAATGCTGTGTAACAGAGGGCTTTGTAAAGCAATCAGCAACTCTATAATCTCACTTGGCTGCTTCAGCCCATTTCCTTCACATGTTTTGGAAGGCATTCTTGTTCTTTCCATTCCAGAGAAAATTGCTCTAGTGACCCAACTGATATTCCATCCCAAAAATCTTCTCTCTTCAGGATATAAGATAAGTAATCTGGACCTATAAAAAGTGAGCAAATTCTATCTTTGTCAACATAACAAGCTTAACCCTGAAGAACTCATAAACACCACTAAATTTCTTTTGTTTGGGTTCAGAAGAAAGTTGGGAGGGAACCCTTACTTCTGAATATAGGAATTCCAGAAAATTTGAATTTATTACAGCCCTGAGGGCAGATACAAATAAGATATTGAATAAAAGAAGTATTACATCCTTCTATATATATATATATATGTATATGTGTATAAGAGAAAAACAATGTATAATGGAATCTAAACATAATTAAGGACATAATTACTAAAATTAGTTTAACTTGAGCCAACCAGAATTGAACTGCCGAACTGCTGGCAGCTGACAGTCAGAAGAAGTAGTCTTCAGTACTGCATTCAAACCACTGCACCAAGCCCTTTAAAACATAGTCACTCTTTTCTCTGAAAAATCAATGTTTTATCTGAAACTAAAATTTACCAAGATGCAAATTTTACAGTGGGAATTTATTTCATATTTAAATGTTGAAAAAATATGTGTGTTTATAATTTATTTTTGGCTTGTTCAATGTTTTTCCTGCCTTGTCTGTCATACTCCCTTTTCTCACTGCAACTACAGTGTGAGGCAGTAGTTGAAGTTGAGAAATGGCTGTGAGAAATAGCTCATTCAGTGAGCTTTCAGGCTGATAAGGAATCACACTGTGTTATAAAATAATTGTGATTCATGAAAAAGAAAGAGCACAAATTATCCCTTTGAACAAAAAAGCAGTTAGAAACAACTGACACTTACGGAAACAATGCATCAAGGACTCTTTGACCAGTTAAAAGAGGATGATTTGCAGGTAACTTTTCTGTAACAGGACGGACCTGACGTACAGGCCAGACCTGGACCATTGAAAATTTCTCCTTCACATCCTCAAACTCCAGCTCCAACACAACATCCTAAATGAAAGCAGCAAAATAAAGATCAATGCAAATGACAGAGACTGAAAACAAGCAAACCTTGTAAATACAAGGCTAAAGCTAACTTCACTAGTCAAATGAGAACTATGTTAGTAAAGTGGAGAGGGTCAAGAATTGTGCTGGGCAGAGGTTGGAAGGCATAGAAGCAAAGAAGTATATTTCCATAAAGCTATGTTCACCATAGCAATTCAGGGCACTATGAAGGCTATCTATAAAGTACAAATAATTTTAAAGCTGTTGGCTTATTAATACTGTAATACTCCACAAAATCATGTTGCTTCTCATCAGTATTAGTTCAGCTATACACTAATTTCAGTGGGGTATATAGATACATACACAAACATGACTATCGAGGAAATTAGAGAGGAAGGTGATTATCTATACATTTCTGTTACTCTTTTTATCTCAAACCTGTAGCAACCCTACAATTTAAGCAAGGATTTGTAGTGAGAAAATGGAAATAATGGGAATTTCCCCCCCTCCAATTTGGTACCAGTCTAAAGCATCAAAATCTATGTATTATTTAGGACAGACAACAGACTAGCAAACTTAATTAAAATAAAAACTTACAGACGCATCATAATTTCCAGGTGGAGCAATGTACGTTATTGTACCTCTATTTCGTGGAGGCAACATGATTTTGTGCTTGATAAGGGAATTCTCATTCACTAGGCCATAGATATCTCCACCTGTAATGTGGCTACCAACCTGAAATTAAAAAGAAATTCTTAAGTTACAAATACATGCTCTCTATATGAATGTCTACTGGTGTCTATATATGAATTTCTATAAATGGGTGACACATTGAAAATCGAACACCACGTTCCTTTGTAAAAAGTGACTGAGGGCCTTATATTGACAGAGTCAGCAAATGCCTTTTCTCTTTCTCTAATAACACAATGTAGAGCATTCCCCTAATACAGATGATGAACTGGATGCCACAGTACAGGCAAATCATCCAAGGAAAATATCTTAAAGATGTATCATCACAAGTGTGGAGATTTAGTATAAAGAATATACATTACATATATAAACAGTGAAAACATACATACAATACTGAACTTATGCTAATATAGCTCTATAATCCATTAATGTTCGCCTTATACCATGATTGGAGGAGGGGAGAAGCTGCAGCTGGCCTTAAGGGTGATTTCAGCTCACGTTTTAGAAGACTGCAGTGAAAAATTGGGTGAACCTGTCTAAGCGTCTTAGGGAGTTCCAATTCTGCTGTAACAGGATTGATTATTCTTTTAATGGGGAATGATCCTACAAATCTCTAGCTTCTTTGAGGGCTGCAGGGATTTTAGGTATCTCGTGGACAGATATATTTTCTCCCCCACTTGAAATGGTTTGGGTTCACTTTGTTTTTTATCTACCTGGAATTTATAAGCTTCCCTAGCTTCGTCTAAAGCCTTTCTCACAACTGGCCAGGTGTTTTGTAATTGTGCAATCCATTCCTTCAGGGAAGGGATGGTTGGTTCAATAGAGGGTAATTCAGGCATTGGGTTGAAACTTTGTCCTGTTTCAACCTGGAAAGGAGTGTAACCCGTGCTGGAATGCACTGCATTGTTATAAGCGACCTCTGCGAACGGGAGTAGGTCGGTCCAATTGTCTTGCTGATAATTAAAGAAGCATCTTAAGTACTGTTCCAGTACGGAGTTCGAACGTTCAGTCCCACCATTTGTTTGTAGATGATGACTAGATGACAACCCGAGTGGTCCCCAAAAGTCCCAGGAATGCTTTCCAAAACTCTGACGTGAACTGCACTCCCCTATCAGATATGATTTGTTGTGGAGCCCCATGAAGCCGATAGATATGCTGAACGAATATTTTCGCCAGTGTCTTTGCACTGGGGACTTTTGGGCATGGGATAAAATGCACTTGCTTAGAAAACAAATCCATCATGACCCAAATGACTGTGTTTTCCCCACTTTCTGGTAACTCCACAATAAAGTCCATACAGATTTCCTTCCAAGGCACTGAAGCCTGAGGTCCTCCCCTGTCTCCTCTTAGCTGCAGCACATATCAGGCACATTCCTTTCTCACCCCAGGTTGACATCAAGGGGAAATAGTTCAAAGAGCAAGCAGATAGAAAAGGCAGAGAGGATACATTGTAGCTAGGCAAAAGGAGAAGTAAGATATCCCAAAGGGCCTCCCTCCTCCCTTCAGGAAAATGACAGAACCCATAGAAAAAAGACAGAAAAGGACAGAACCAATCCCCCCAATAGGAAATGGATTCTGACAAGAATTCTGTCACATTGGCCCATAGAATTACTCTCTGCTATAAATCTTAAATTGTATTCCATCATCATATTTGTCCAAGACTTATAATTATATATTGTTTCCCTTTGTGGCAACCACTGTATTTTCATTACTTACTCTTCTTTGTCCTGTAACCAATTTCATGTCCTTCTTTCTCATCCTTACATTCTTCAAATGTCATTATTTATCATCTTCTTCAAAAGTAGATGGACAAATTTTTTTTCTAAAATTTGGTTTTATTTGCATCCTCAGTTTCCCAAATAACTCTGATCTCCAGCTATTTTTACAACTGATAGAGACCAGAAGGCAGGAAATTCAGGAACCTTTCAGAACCTAGTACAGCAACCTCTTGACTCAACTAATTTGATTAATATCTAATCTTTGCAATCACAAAAATCACCAAGCTGCTTAAAAATAAAAATGACATATAGAGAGACAAATATCAATTCAAATGGAAATATGAAGATAAAATAAAGCATAAATAAAATTAAAGCCTCTAAAACAAGGGGGCAATAAAACTCCCAATAAAACTCTTGACACAAGGTGAAAGCTGAAATCACAAGTAAACTGGGAGAAACTCAGTGCACTATTATCATCTTGCTTCTTGTTTGCTTGTTCCTGACTTCCTATTGTGTTCTTCGTATCCCCGAGCACACAATCTGACATATCTTCCACTAGATGCTGGCTGCCCAAAGACCTTGAACCAATTTCCTGAAGCAGGTGACGTTTAAAGAGAAGTTTCTCTTAGATTGTTCATTACCAAAATGGTTTATACTTTTGAGAGACAACAGGATGTCCTTTCTGATATGTCTCTTTATGTGCAAGTGAGTCATGAGGAGGGTTTTTTTTTTTTAAAGGGAGATGTTTGCTAGTCAGACACTACTATGAAGTTGGAGGACAGTGAGTAATGACCATGGCATGGAAAAGAGCACTGAAGTTATAGGGTATAGGTAGACTGTTGTAAGTAAGAGCTTGCAAGGAAAGAAGAGCACGATATTCTTTGGCCTTCCTTCAAACATAAAGGTTACACTTTTTATGAAATTAATTCATAGTGGAATGTTTAGCTTCTAAATTTAATTCTGGATGAAAGCACTAATCAGGAATGTTGGAAAAAAGGGAGATAATTTGTTTCTTCCAGCTCTGTCTGCCATATTATAGCAGGTATAATATGTTGGTGTAACAGAAGGCAGGAAATGGTGACAATGATTTCTAAAAATTCCATCTTGTTGACCAGGAGCTCCATCCAAGGGTTTGGCAATTTTGAATGGATGTACTGTTTGGAGGGTGAGAACAATGTAGGGATATTGTGTATCACAAATCTGTCTACTGAGATTGCTCAGTTGTGAGCCACTCAGGATTGCATGCCCTTTCTGGTGACCACAGATCGGCCTAAACATATTTTTCATCCATTTGAATAGAGGAGGCCATATGCTAAATCTGGTAGTCTGAAGATGAGGAGAGTTTTTTTCAGTTTGATTGACATGGAAACTCAGTCTCAGTTAGGGTGAAGGATCAGTTAAAATGATCTGATAGATCCAAATGTTTCCTGAATGACTTTGGGGAATTTCCCATTCATCTGAAGGTAAATTTGTTAAAATCCTGTGCAAAGTATTTGAATCCGAACAATGTGGATTTGAAACATCCAGTTTGAAATCCAGAAGAGTCACTCTGATGATTTTGGAAATATTTCATACTCAAGATGCAATGTTTAACTTAACTTTATCAGGAAATATAAGTACAACGGCTGATGGATGCTAGTATCCTGGTTTCCATTTTAGTGTGGAAAATCCTTGTTCAAATATGTACAAAACATCTACTGAAATATTTTAAAGAACCCAAGATAACTTACTCGCAGGTTTTTTATAGGAATGAAGTCCCATTTGATATCTCTACTCAAAGCTGTCACATTTACTCCTCTGGGAATGTATATACTTTGAGTCCGACTACTAATGTCTGACAAAGGTCTTTGGATACCATCAAAAATGGCTCCCATGATTCCCGGTCCAAGTTCCACAGAAAGTGGTTTGCCAGTGCGAAGCACAGGATCTCCAACTGAAACACCAGCTAAAAAAATTGTTGAGGAAATTATTCTGGAAAACAGTGTCAGATACTATCAGTGTTGGTGTAAATTTTTGTCTAATGATGAGCCAAAAGAAATATTGTTAACATTCCAAAGATTCATTGTTAACCATCTAAACCATAATTTCATGCATAACTCATGTCTGCACTTATAATTTTATAAATTCTCCAGCTAATAAATTTTATTTTTTTGTTAACTGTTATTATGCATAAGAATATTATTAAATGCTTATAGTTTAACTGTAATTGTTAAACCAGGTCATATTTTGTCTTTCCATTACTCTAAAGTCATATCTTAAGCTAAAAAATCTAAGTTGCATATCAGCTAAAAGGATACAGGTTTCTTCATACACCTGGATAGTAGCCATGTCACCCTCCAAACGGATAATCTCTCCTACAAGTTCACTATTGCCAACTCGTACCAGTTCATACATAGCAGCTCCTGCCATGTTGCAAGCAGTGACCACTAAGAAAAACAAAGGAAAGGATTATAGGTTCTAGGTTGCTTCTCTCTGTGGAAACTAACCAAAGAGAGAAGCAACCTAGAACTAAGGAGAAACTTCCTGACAGTTAGAACAATTAACCAATGGAACAACCTGCCTCCAGAAGCGGTGAATGTATATTTTCACACAGAACAATGTAAGTTTTCAGTTCCATTCCAATAGCAGTTCAAAAGGAATTAGGTAACAGATTTGGAAGAAAGGTTGCGTGATACTGTAGCTTGGAAAAAGCAAATGAGTCTTTAATTGGAAAAAGGGCAGAAAGACCTCTGAGAAAGGTAAGGACTTCAAATGAAATACCAGTACTGAGACTAGGAGGTACCCATTAAAGCAAAGGTCTAGTAATTTGAAAAAGAATTTTATGCAAGGATTTTACACGTGCTCTGAAGCATATAAGTTGTCTTCAATTTATGACCAATCATTTAATGTAAATGTAATCATAAAATGTTGCAGCAGATCCACCCCTACCCGTTACAATACCATATTTTGGGCACTTGGCAATCTCTTCGCATTTAAAATTATTGCCCAGTGCCTTGTAATCATGTCATTGCCAACTGATTCCAATCATTTATTGACTACCATTTGCAATCTTCTCTGCCAGCTTCATCAGAAAGTCAATGGGGAAGTTGGCAGGGAAGGTTGCAAATGGAGACAACATTGGATTTGCGGCTCTTTCCCCACTGCACCATGGAATTCCCCTTCCCCTCCATGCAAGGAAGGAAAATCTTCCCATGTTCTGGAGGAATGGACCTCAACACTAGCGAACATCATCATTCCAGAAGGCTCAAAACAGCAAAAGGCAAACATTTAGGACAGAACCGTGCTCTATTCTGTTCATGTCCACACAGAGAATAATAACAAGTATAAAAATATCTCCACCATAGTGAGAGATTCTCATAATGTTTACTATGTGAAAGAGGAAGGCAGAGATTTCTCAGCGAGAACAAAGCATTACTTACCAGGCCCTGAGACTCCATAGACATAGCCAAATATGTTTTCTCTATCTTCATCACGGATTTTGGGGAGTTTAGAGAAATCCATCTTAAATCTTCAATAATCTGGAAAATGAGTGCAGATAATAGGGCATGGGGGGGGGAGAGAAAATATTTAATCTTCAGATTTGCAAATCAGTATGTAGCAAAGCAGAATAGATGTCATTAATCATTACCACCAGTAGAGTTTCTGAACATAACATATATTATAACAAGTAAGAGAATGTTACTTGTAATATTATCTTACTTGTGACCCTGTCAGTCAATTAACGAATTTGCATTCTCTTCCTATGTTCATTTAATATTCTCTATAACATGTGTAGAATGGAATATGACTATTTGAGTGCATAAGTAACAACAACAACAACAACAATAATAATAATAATAAAGTTGGAAGGGACCTTGGAGGTCATCGAGTCCAACCCCCTGCTCAGGCAGGAAACCCTACACCATTTCGGACAAATGGCTGTCTAGTTTCTTCTTAAAAACTTCCAGTGTTGGAGCATTCACTGCTTCTGGAGGCAGGCTGTTCCATTGGTTAATTGTTCTAACTGTCAGGAAGTTTCTCCTTAGTTCTAGGTTGCTTCTCTCCTTGATTAGTTTCCATCCGTTGTTTCTTGTCCTGCCTTCAGGCGTTTTGGAGAATAGCTTGACTCCCTCTTCTTTGTGGTAGCCCCTGAGATATTGGAACATTGCTATCATGTCCCCCCTCATCCTTCTCTTCGTTAAACTAGACATACCCAATTCCAGCAACCGTTCCTCATATGTTTTAGCCTCCAGTTCCCTAATCATCTTTGTTGCTCTTCTCTGTACTCTTTCTAGAGTCTTAGCATCTTTTTTACATCGTGGTGACAAAAACTGGATTCAGTATTCCAAGTGTGGCTTTACCAAGGCATTGTAATGTGTAATCACGTGATCTTGATTCTATCCCTCTGTTAATGCAGCCCAGCACTGAGTTGGCTTTTTTGGCAGCTGCAGCACATTGCTGGCTCATATTTAAGTGATTGTCCACTAGGACTCCGAGATCCCTCTCACAGTTACTACTATTGAGCAAGGTACCCCCTGTACATTTGGTTTTTCTTGCTTAAATGTAGAACCTTATTTTTTTCACCACTGAATTTTATTTTGTTAGATAGCGCCCAGTGTTCAAGTCTGTCCAGGTCCTCCTGTATCTTAAGCCTGTCTTCTGGAGTGTTGGCTATTCCTGCCAGCTTGGTGTCATCTGCAAATTTGATGAGTTCCCCATCTATCCCCTTGTCCAATCGGTGATGAACATATTGAAGAGCACTGGGCCTAGAACAGAGCCCTGGGGCACCCCACTACACACTTCCCTCCATGTAGATGCAGTTCCATTGAGGACCACACGCTGAGTATGGCCGGTCAACCAGCTACAAATCCATCTGGTGGTGATGCTGTCTAACCCACATTTTTCTATCTTATCGAGTAGTAGGTTGTGATCTACTTTATCAAATGCCTTACTGAAGTCCTACTAAATTATGTCCACAGCATTCCTCTGATCCATTAATTTTGTCACTTGGTCAAAGAATGCAATAAGGTTTGTCTGGTATGATCTGTTTTTGACAAACCCATGTTGGCTTTTAGTAGTGATTTTGTTTGCCTCTAGGTGTTTGCTGATTCGTTGTTTGATTATCTTTTTCAGAATCTTCCCAGGTATTGAGGTCAGGCTGATAGGTCTGTAATTTCCTGGATCCATTTTTTTTTTTCTTTTTTGAAGATGGGAACTACATCAGCTCTTTTCCAGTCCCCTGGTAGTTCCCCAGTGCTCCAAGATCTTTGAAAAATATAATTCAGTGGTTCTGAGATCACATCTGCCAGTTCCTGTACCTGCATCTTCTCAGATCTGCAGTCTTAAAAATTTCACATTTGAATACAGGTAGTCCTTGACTTACAACCACAATTGAGGCCAGAATTTATGTTGCTAAGTGAGAAATTTCAGCAGAAATAGCAAATCTCTCTCTCTCTCTCTCTCTCTCTCTCTCTCTCACACACACACACACACACACACACACACACACACACCTGTTTCTATTCTTTTTAGAGGATTTTGTAAGATAACATTTCCCCATTCATACAGTCAGTGGTAATATTTATTGTTATACTTCAATACAGCATTACGACCTGTGGCTCAAGAAGAATCCGTGGCTAGAATTTCCTTTTTTCTTTGAGCTTAGGGTAATATGTGACTCACAACCTTATGAAATAAGAACTTCCAAGTATCAGCTATCTATATTTAGTCTGGTGTGCTAAACTGTGAAATGTGAGTGGCAACCTTTTAAAAAGCTTGAAAAGTATTGAAAATAAAATTTAAAAATTAATTTATAACAGCATGATGAACAATCAAGTGATTGTTTCTTCCCACTGACATTAGATCCTAATTCATTTCCAAAGAGAATTCCAAGAGTTAGTATTGATTTTAATATCTTGAACAGCTTGGAGTGATTCTATAGTAAGGCCACTTTCCTTATGTCTAACTAAAACTGACTAAAATCCTTTCACTGGTTTTTTAATATTATTATTGAGGGATTATTTTTAATCTATTTAATCTGCCAAGAATTTTTTTTGATAATAGCTGAATTAAATCAATCGTAAAGAAGACAAATCTTATCTCTTAGTTGCCTTTTCATTTCCCTTTCTCCCTGAAGGAGATTCTACTATTCAATACCTCAATAAATCAGCCATTTATTACTGCTACATGTAAAGCCTCATTGGTTCCAAAGTTGAATTTGGGCAGCTGGAAGAACTCATCTGAAAAGATATGGGCTGGTGGATCTCTTTGATGGTGCTTCTATCTATTTGCCTATGTAGGGGCAATACCATCATCAAAAACTCTCTTGTGGTACACCCTGCCTGCCTGCCAGTAGTTCCATAGTTCAGTGAAGTGCTTGGCACACCTGTTTGGTTTGCATAGGCAACCTGAGTCTCATTTAAGAAACAGCAAGATATCTTGATATAAATTTTTGCTTTTATTTTTTCCCATTCTAAAAGAAATGTATTTCTTATAAAGTGGTTTTGAAAGTATCTATGATTTTATTCTTCCCGTGCCACAGAAAGGCATGCCAACCAATTTGTAGGCCATGCCCCTCTAGGTATAATAGTCTTTTATTTCTAAGCATTATCCATTCTTTAAGCCAAGTTAAAATAGTTGCTTGGTAGTATAACGTCCAGTCCGGCAGTCCAAATCCTCTACTTTCTTTCGCTTCTTGTAACATTTTCAGTCTGATTCTAGCTTTTTTTCCTTGCCAGATAAATTTCAGTACTGTTGTATTTAGTTCATCAAAAAATACCAGTTTTACAGTTATCGTTTGGAATAGAAAAAGTATTTTCGGTAAGATATTCATTTTCACTGTTGCTATTCTCCCCAGCATTGAAAGTTATAAATTTTTCCACTTTTCCAAATCCAATTTTATTTGTTTTAGCAATCTTACATAGTTGTCTTCTTTTATTGTTGCACACCTTGCTTTTAATAAAGTCCCAAATATTTAACTTTTTTAACTATTTGAACATTTTTTTTGCTAGTTGTTTTTTTTGTTTTTCTGTTAGATTTTTTTTAGCATTTAGTCTTTTTTCTGTTTATTTTCAACCCTGCCACTTCTCCAAATTCCTCTATTTTCTCCATAAGTTTAGTGCTTGTTTCAAGCGGTTCTTCCAAAATAAAAACCAAATCACCTGCAAGTGCTTGTAGTTTATATTTTTCATCTTTTATCTCCAGTCCTTTAATTTTTATATCTTGTTTGATGTTTCTATTTAATACTTCCAGTATTAGTATAAATAATAATGGAGTTAGTAAGCATCCCTAACTTGTGCCTTTTTTAATATCAAAATTTTCTGTAAAGTCACCATTTACAATTATTTTGGCTGTTTGTTTATGATAAATTGTTTTAATTACATTTATAAAGTTTTCTCCAAAATCCATTTCCTCTTGTTGCTGAAACATAAATTGCCAGTTTATGTTGTCGAACGCTTTCTGTGAATCAAGAAATATTAAAGCCATCTATTTCCCTGGATGAATTTCATAGTATTTTAAAACATCTAGAATCATTCTTAAATTATTTTTTATCTGTCTTTCAGATAGAAAGCCATTTTGGTCTGTTGTCATGGTTGTCAACACTGTAAATATTGGATGTTCCCGCTCTGACAACTGATGAAAATTGCAGCCATTTTTTCTCCCAGGCCCCTCAGCCCGCCAAAACCTTATCAGAATACATTCTGAGTTCCCACACTTCTACATTGTTATGGCTAGCTAAACCCTCAGGCATTTACCCCATCCCCTTTTCTACATCTGAACTCTAAAAGAATAGAAAAGGCACATTAAAAGCAAAAGTAAAAATGGCTGCTGGTTCTCAGTCGTGAGAGCGATGACATCCATTGTCACAGCGTTGATATCTGTATGTATAAATTTGGTCAGAAACTTTTTTAGTCTTTCTGCTATTATTGAGGCGAAAATTTTATAATTTACATTTAATAAGGTACGTAATTTTTTATTTGCATTAGATGAGAGTGTTCTTTGGGTATTAGGGTAATATTGGCTTCAGTCCATGTATTTGGTATTTTAGCCTCGAAAAGTGTTTTATTGCACAGTTCTTTCAATATTGAGCTTAGTATATCCTGTAATGATTTATAAAGCTCTGCAGGTAATCTATCTGGACCCAGAGTCTTATCATTTTTTTTTTTTGCCTTTTTATAGCCTCTATAATCTCCATCACTGATATTTTCCCATTTAGTATATTTTGAATATTCTCTGAAATTTTTGATAAAGTCTCTTTTTTTAAATACTGCTGTATTTTTTCTTTTGAAATTTCGTTTGCGTGTAAAGTATCTTGTAATAGTCTTTGATAATTTTTTTAATTGTCATCATTTTGAAACTGTAATTCACCTTTTGAGTCTTGTAACTTGTTTATCAGTTTTTTCTTTTTCTTTTTTCAGTCTATATGTAAACCATCTCCCCGGTTTATTGGCATTTTCAAAAAAGTTCTGTTTAGCCCTTTTAATCTGTTGGGCCATTATTTCCATCTCAGCTAGGTTTAATTTTTGTTTTATTATCTCCA